GCCACTGGTCTGTCGGGGGCTGGGGGGAAGCTGGCAGGAAGCCTCTGGGGAAGAAGGAGGCAAGCCTCCCACGCTTCTCCAGTGACCAGGCACCTGGGGGCCCTCACTGCTCGCCGCGCAGGTGCCGGGCATCAAAGAAGCTTAACTGGCCCTTGAGCATTAATTAAGCCTTGGGCTGCCCTTGACCCACCTGTGCACCCCGTGACCTGCTGGCTTAGCCGGGAGCAGCTCCGGGCCAATGAAAGCATAAACTCCCACCTGAAATCCTATGCTTGGTTGTAACTCCTTAGAGCATGGTAATGCAGTGTAATCCTAGCAGCTGAGGACCCAGGTCAGACCACATCTTTCCCAATAAGTGAACCTCAGAATGGTCATGGGAAATTTTGCAACAGTTTACATTTACAAAGCATTTAAAATCCTTGTTTCTTATTAGAGAATAGATACATGCTCATTGTAGAAAATTCAGGAAGTACAAAAAGAGTCGAGGGGTGGGAAAAAAGCTGTCCCACTGTCCGCCAGCCGAGTGGTGGCCAGGTCAGGGCCTCGGTGTGCAGGATGAGGATGACGGGCAGCCCCCGCCCAGACCCAGTCCCTCCTAGGCCCAGCTGTGTCCCAGCTTCTGAACTGGCCTGGAACGCAGTGGGCGCTTGGTTCCATAAGCCTGTCATTCTTTCTATCCTCTGGGCACCTTGCTTGGTGTCTCTGAGTCATCATTTCTGAACCTGAGGGCGGCGGCTCGATGTCATGTCACCCGGGCTGACTCATCTGCTTGTGCAGGATGCAGCCAGGTAGGACAGCCTGATGGTCAGAGCTCAGGCCCCAACAGGGGAGTACCCCTGGGGAGGGGCCTTTGTCGCTCTACACAGTGGGGACAGGGTTCTTGCCTTGCTTTAGGAGGATGAGTGGTGTGCGTTGAGGGCCCCAGATGGCCCAGCAGAAAACATTTTTGGGAAAACTATTTTCTCCCCAAACATCTGGCCTGTTAAAGCTGCAAGCTCAGGTTACTTTTTTTGAAATTCCTTTTCGTTTTTAAAAGGTAATACAGTTTTAAAAAGAGAGGACACCCATGAGGCCACCAGCTCTTTCCTGACTCTTATCATTTTGCAATGGAACTTTCTGGACTTGGTCCATTGTGAGAGGTCTTCAGAACAAAAATCTCATTTTTCTGTTGAGTAAAAACTAAAATCAAGAATAAAGCAACACAGGCCAGGCCCAGTGGCTCACACCTATAATCCCAGCACTTTGGGAAGCTGAGGAGGATGGCTCACCTGAAATCAGAGACCAGCCTGACCAACATGGTGAAACCCTGTCTCTACTAAAATACAAAAATTAACTAGGCACGGTGGTGCATGCCTGTAATCCCAGCTACTCAGGAGGCTGAGGCAGGAGAATTCCATGAAACCAGGAGGTGGAGGTTGCAGTGAGCTGAGATCATGCCACTGCAATCCAGCCTGGGTGATAGAGGGAGATATTGTCTAAAAAAAAAAGAATAAAGTAAAACAAAAACGTTTTAGATTTCCACAATTATTATCCAGTTTTAGAGAAACTCGCCAAGCCAAGTTTCTGCCACTATCACCAGACTTATGCATGGGTCACCTCCCAGGTCACCATGGCCCATGGATCCTGGGTCAGGCAGATCAGGGGTTGAGGAAGGCTTCCTGGGGGAGGCAATACCTCAGCTAAGCTCTGAGGGAAGAGGAAACTCCCAAGCCAGACCCTCACCTTCCCCTGGAAACCTCTGGCAGTGCACGAGACCCCCTGTTACAGTGTTAACACTGAGCCCCAAGTCGGTAGGCCTCTCCCACCTCCCAGGTTCCTTCCCTGCCAGTTCAACCATCTACCAAGCGTCCACTGACAGTGCACTGTGTGCTCCCAGCTGCAAATGGAGCAGGGAAGAGGCTGCCGCTTTGGCCAGTTCCTCAGGCCGTGCCTGACTCTGCTTCCTTCTCCTAGCCTGCCTCTCCAGCAGCCCATCTGTTCCTCCTAGCACCCCCTGGCTCCTTCAGGTCAGGGCAGCCATATGTTTTTTGTTTTGTTTTGTTTTGTTTGAGACAGAGCCTCCTTCTGTCACCCAGGCTAGAGTGCAATGGCGCAATCTCAGCTCATTGCAACTTCTGCCTCCTAGGTTCAGGCAATTCTCATGCCTCGGCCTCCTGAGTAGCTGGGATTACAGGCATGTCTGACCTCCAGTGATCCTCTTGCCTCGTTCTCCCAAAGTGCTGGAATTACAGGCATGAGCCACCACACCTGGCCACATGTCCTCTTCATTTCACAGACATGACACAGGCTAAACAGGCCTTGAATGGCTCTGCCAGGGAGTGCCATCAGGGAGGGCTCTTTGGAGGAGGCTGAGGAAGTTTGCCTTCCTCACCCAGGCAGGCGAAGCCCAGGCACTGCTCCCAGTTTGGACCTAGACTTGGAGAGTCTGGAAAACCAGGTAACTGGGAGAGCTGGGTGGGCGGGCCAAGCTCAAATGCTGACGGGCCCTTGGCAGTCCAGCTCTGAGGCCACTGCTCCGTCCTCAGCACATCATGATCTCTCACTTGCCTTGGGAGGGTGGCAGGACCACGTCTGCCCCTCAGGTGAGAACACTAAGACTCAGTGCAAGGGTGCCCACCCCTGCCCCAGGGATCAGGGAAGCCTGTCAGAGAGCCATGGTTCCCACCATGGAAGGGGGCACCCCAGGCAGTTGTCCCTGGTGGGCCAGTGCCATTCCTTCCACATGCCTCAGTTTCCCCCATGCACATGGCTAGAATTGCTGGGCTTTTCAGGAGCAAACCATTCCAGGGGCCTGGGAAAAGGTAGACAAGGTGGTTCTGATCAGGGCTCAAACAGGTGACAGGTCCACCTGCAGAATCAGACTCAGGTCCCTCCCATAGCTCCTGAAGATGGCCTTTTGGTAGCAAGTGGGTGTTCTGAGCCACAGCAAGGTGTACAGTTCCCTGTGGGGACAACACAACTGAGGTCCTTGGGCCACCTCCAGGTCCCCTAACAGTGCAAATGGAGGCCCAGTGCCACAAGCCTGAATGTCCACAGCCCAACCAAGTGACAGACTGCTCAGAAAAACACACGCTGTCCTCCTTGATTCCCCCCCGTCAGGGGCTGAACTGTGTCCCCCAAAATCTATATGTTTAAGTCGTAACCCTCAGTACCTCCAAATGTGACCTAATTTGGAGACGAGGTCTTTATAGGTCTTTACAGACGCTTTATAGGGTCTTAAGATGAGGACGTTAGAGTGGGCGCTAATCTAATATGGCTGATGTCCTTATAAGACAGATTGGAACAGAGACACACGGAGAGTATCGTGTGTAGACAGGAGTTAAGCTGCCACCGGCCAAGGAACTGCCAGAAGCTTGAAGACAAAAGGAAGGCTGTTCTGGAGTTTTTGGAGGGACTGCAGCCCTGCCGACACCCTGATCTCAGACTTCTGGCCTCCTGAACCTTAAGACAATAAATTTCTGTTGTTCCCAGGCACCCAGTCTGTGGTACTATGATACACAGCTCTAGAAAACACACTTCCTAAATGGCCGTGTGTTTCGCATTTGGGGACTCCTGAAGGCCTGGGTCACAGTGAGGTGGCTTAGGGAGCTGCAGGCAGCCTGCTGTTTTCCATCCCCACCCAGCCATTGGAGGGCTGCCTCAGACCTCCCTCCCAGCCCTGTCCATGCACCTATAGGCAGTGGCCCTCTGCCCAGTGGTACATGGTGGACAAACTCAGAGTGGGGGCCACACAGGCCTGAGAGGTGGGTTAGGGGCCATTTGGCAAGGAATTCTGGGGTCCCAGAGTGTGGTCTGGAGTGGACACTGCTGGTGGTCCTGCCCATCCTGACATGACAGAAGGAACACACATGCTTGATTTTGAATAAAGGAGACTGAAGAAAGCCATCGTGTGCGACGCACGAGTCCAAGTGGGAACAAGGTATCAGGGGCGACGCCAACCCTGATGGAGAAAGGGGTGGGGCCCCTCACGTCTCACACTGAACCTCGGCATTGGAGGGCTCAGAAAGGAGAGGTGGGGAGGGGCTGCCCTACTGGAACCCCACTTCAAGGTGCGCCTGAACATCCACACTCTTCAGGGTTACTCGCCAGGCCCTCTGGAGCCAGCCCAGCAATCTGGGTCACCCTCCGCACTTCTGGAGGCACACGTCAGCCAGCTGCCCTGGGCTTCTGCTGTCAGACATTGCCAAGCCAGGGCCTTTGCACCTGCTATTCCCTCTGCCATGAATGCCTTTGCCGGCTCCACAGAGATGGGCACGGCTCAGGAGGCCTCCCTCAGGCAGCCCAAGATCCAGAGTGTCTGAGGCCTGAATATACCCCGCCCTTTGGTGGCTGCCCGGGCAGGGGGCTAAGCCTGGGTTGGGTGGGGTCAGAGGGAGAGAAAGCTGGAGCTGTGTAGGAAGGGGAAGCCAAAAGGGAGGCGACCACGAGCGTGGGGGCCCTGCAGCCAGACCCCAGGACTTTGAATCCTGTTTCCCCCACCGTGGGGCCCCTCAGTGAAAACAGAAGACAACAAGGGCACCCACCTCACAGTGCCTCAGAAGGCCTGGCCCAGCGAGAGACAGGGAAAGAAGGATGGGTCCACACAGGACACTGGGGGTGAGTGGGGTGTGGGAAGGGCGGGCCGGGGAGGGGTTTTGCTCTTTGCCCTTTGGTACCTGTCGAATCAGGCCCCTGGGAAGGCAAAATCCTGCTCAAAAAATAAAAACACAGAAGCACATGGAAAAACCACATTAGGAGCGAAGGTGAGAACAGGCAGGAGGAGGGAAGGGTGTTGCGCAGAGGCAGCCGCGCGTGCAACGCCCCGGAGGAGTGACACTCTCGCCCCGACAGCTACGCGGCTGGGAGTTTGAGCTCCCCTGGGCCCCCGCCCCCGCTCGCGTCAGGACCTCGGCTCCAGTCCAAAGTGTGGGCGTGGCCTGTAAGAGGCATGGTACCGCCCCTGGGAGGGCGGAAGGGCGGGGCCTGGTGTGCTCCGCCCCTCCCCGGCCCAGGCCCCGCCCCGTCAAGCCGGGCTCACTGCCAGAGGAGGCCCCGCCGAGCGCCGCGGAGCGCCCAGGATGCGCGGGGCGGCCGCCACCCTCCGTGGCAAGGCGAGGCCCCGGGGGCGGGCCGGGGTCACCACGTCTGCCCCAGGGAACCGCACAGGTGAGGGCTGAGGCCACGTGGCTGCGTGCGGGGCTCTGCGCCCATTTCACAGATGGGAAAGCCGAGGGGAGGGGTTGCGGGGCCGCCCAGCCGTGGGTGGGGGTCCCAGCCACGATCCGCCCTGAGGATGAACCTCCCCGACCCTCCGCCCGCCCGGCGAACGCCCTAGTGGAGCCGAAGCCTGGTAGCTAGCGGTTCCAAACCAGGCGGCTGCACGCAGCGGTCCGCGCGCCCCTTCCCGACTGGCCGCCGCGCCTTGGTCCTTGTGTTTGGTCCCGGGCGCCCGCGGGTACTGCAGCCGGCCACGCCTCTCCACGCCGCGGGCTCCGGGCCCCTCCGCGCCCCTCCGGGGGAAGTCGAAACCGGCCTCACCTGGCGGGCGGGCTGGCGGGCGGCGCGGGGCGAGCCGGGCGCCCTCTCTGCGCCTGAAGTAGGTGTCATCTTCACGGTTCCTTGGTGACCACCGGAGCTCCACTTTTCAGATGGAGAAACTGAGCCTGAGAGAGGGGAGTGGCTGTCCGAGGTCACCCTGTAGCCAGGCTTGCGATCGGGGGGCTGTCTCCGAGGCTCAGAGGCCTCCGGAAGGAAGAGAGGCTGCTTTTTATTTTACTTTTAAGTGTTTGATTTCAAGAATGTGCTTGAAGAGCTTTCACCTCCTGTGCCCAAGCCTCCTGTTTCCAATGCCGGCCTTGCCCCGCGAATGATTCTCAAGTGTAACCCTTTTAGAAAAGGAACCAAACTGGAATTCTGGGTCTCAGATATCCCAAAAGCTCACTTCCCGTGGCCACTGCCTCTGAGGGTTAGGCCTGAGGGTCCTGGGTGTCTCAGGCGTTGCCGGGCTTAGGTTCTGCACAGGAGGAAGCTGAGGCCCGGAGTGGGGTGGGCTGGCCCCAGTCACACTGTCAGCCTGCAGCCCCAGGGAACTGGCAGGAGGGTGGCAGGAGGCTGGCTTCCTCTCACAGATGGGGAAACTGCGGCCCAGGGAGTTAATTCACCAAGCAGAGGTGTGCAGCTCAGCAAAGTGGGCGCTGAGACGTGTTCCTGGTGCTGGTGGGTTTGGTTTATTTAGTTTGACACTCTGGCAGCCTAATGTCCAGAGTTCCCTAATTTGGTGTTGGGGTGATGAGCACTTTGCTGCTGTTTGAAGAAGGCATGCCCAGGGCCTGGTGCTGCCTGAGGAGCCACTTCTATTGGCACAACAGCCTGGGGGAGTGGGTAGCCAGTGCCCTTTGGATAGCCTTGACTTGCCCAAGGTCAGCCCAAGGCCAGGGAGTATCTGGAGGCTCTGTCTGCAGACCAAAGGCTTTTGCCTCAGAATTTGTGCTGGGAATGGAGCTTAGTCCGGCACCCGGTGCTCTTGTTCACCCTGCCTGCCCCTGGCTCTTCCTCTGACCACCTGCTCAGCCTCCTCTCAGACATGAGCACTTCCCAAGCACTGGCTCCTTGGAGTTTTGGGTTAGAATCCCCTCTGTGACCTGGGGTGAGTCACTGCACCTCTGTGCCTCAGTTTCCCCACTGTATACCTGCCCCCAAGTTTATGGACAGGCCCAGTGGCACCCAGGGAGCTGCTTCAGGGGTAATGCCATCATCTGGACTCCATCACTCCCCTGCCATGGAACCTTAGGCTCTCGCTCTGTGAAATGTGCTGTGAAGTGAGAGGCTGGGGGGCTGGTACCCTTTGGAGAGTGCTATTGACACTAAAATAGCAATGGCCAGGGGCGGTGGCTGACACCTCTAATCCCAACACTTTGGGAGGCTGAGGTGGGTGGATGACTTGAGCCCAGGAACTCGAAACTAACCCGGGTTACATAGCGAAACCCCATATCTACAAAAAATGCAAATAAGTTAGCCAAGCATGGTGGCATGTGCCCATAATCCCGCTATTCCGGAGTCTGAAAGGTGGAAAAATTGATTTAGCCCAGAGTTCAAGGCTACAATGAGCTGTGATCATCCCACTGCACTCCATCCTGGGCAACAGAGCAAGATTCTGTCTCAAAACAAAACAAAAACCAAAAATGTAATACGGGGGTGTGTGTTTTTCCCGACATCTTTAAAATGCGCCATTACCACTGGTTGTCCTAGAGTAGATATGAAGAGCACAGTAGTGCGGACAGACTTGTCTTCCTGAGAGGCAGGGGTCTTCCCTGTTCTTCTGTGAGCGCCTGGGGAGAAGAGCAGGGCACAGGGGAGAGAGCGGGAGTTATCATGTTTGTTGCACGGCCAGCCCCTGGCTCTGCTCCCAGGGCAGTTCCAGCACTCCCTGAACTGAGAGATTGTCCAGGAACGCAGGGTTCCAGTGGCTGGAGGTAACCCCCTGGCATCCCTGGAAATGCCTGGAGAAGGGGCAGCAGGAGGCATGCTCTGCAGGTGCCATCTTGGCTTCACCCCTGAACTCCTGCCCCAGGACTGGGCTGTGTCCATTTTATAGAGGAGAAACCGAGACCCCATGAGCACCTGTATAAATCAAAGCAAGGTGGATATGCCCCATGATACCTGGCTGTGGTCTTCTACTGCCCATTGGCATTGACAGAGCTGCTGGTAAGAGGCACAGGTTCCCAGACCCTTGGTTTTCCACCAGGAATGTGAGGGTACACGTTCCTCATTTAGAATTAGCCCAGTTCTGTGCTGGAGGAGAGTGTGCTTTCCACACCCGGAGGCCCTCCTGCTGCTCGGCCTGGAGATGCAAGGCCACAGTGGCTCTGAAGCCTGTGCCCACCCTCCCTGTGGAGATGGGCTCAGAGAGGGCAGGTGACTTACCTGAAGACACACAGCCAGGGCTATGGGCCACCCACATGTAGTGTTGGGGCCAGGCCCTGTCCCTACTGCCAGGGTCTTGGGGATCCTGTTCTCAAAGCGCCTTTGTGTGCACAAGTCACCCCCTTTAAACTGAGAAATTCCTCCTGAGGGTTCCCATTTCACATTTGGGGGAACTGAGACCCAGATTGAGGTCACACAAGGACTCACTGGCAGGTGGGAATCGAGTCCAGGTGAGACTGGGTCCGTCAGCATGCCTCTGTCACTCGGGTACCCTCTCTCCCACGACCTCGGCCAGCATAAAAGGGATCATAGTTGCCTGGTCCCACAGCAAGTGAGGTCAGGGTATAGGGGCTGTGTGGCAAATGCCAGGAGGGAGGACAGAAGGGCCGGCCTGGGGTCTAAGGTTCCAGATAAAAGATTAACAAGCACCATTATTCTCAGACGCCCAGCTGGCCTCATGGGCTGGGAGGATGGGGACCTACCTTGGTTAGGCCTGCACCCTCCGATAAGGCCAGGGAGGGAGGAAGGAAGCGCAGCTGCGGCAGCAGGTGTAGCACGTGGGCTGAGGGCCGCTGGGGCATCCCACAGGTGTGGCCCTCAGGTACCCATTGGTCCTCACCACCTGCTCCTGAGCTGTAGTAGGGCCAGGCAGGACCTCATGTTTTTATTTTGTATCTTGTTTGCATCAAGTCCGTTTTCTGCCGTTTTTCCCTCTCCTTTAAGATTTACATGCATGCAGTGAAAAGCGGTCTGAAGGGTACCACGTAAGAAATGTCCCAGCGCTGGGCCAGCAGACCAAGGGCAACCAAAACCAAGGGCCGGGGTATAGTAGGCAGGTAGGGTGGGGCTGGAGGGCAGGGCAGGTCCAGGAGGTAAGGCCTCTGCCTCTAGCTTTAGGGAACAGCTCCTCAGGGACAGCTGGGGTGGGGGGTCCCCTGCAGGGGCCAGGCTCAGGACGGCCATCTGCAGGCAGCTGGGAGTTTACGAGTGTTTGAAGCAGGGGAGGGGACAGGTGGGATCTGCCTCTCAGGCACTAGGCATGGGGAGGGGCTCAGGAGGTCAGTGAGGGGTGGCCCTGGGTCCCCTGGGAGTCTGGGCGTATCTGTGTGAGCAGGATTTGGCTCTGTGGCGGTTAGAGGCAAGGGTGATCTACCAGCTCCATCCCCATGCCTTGGTGATTTCTTGGAATGTCCCTGGGAGGTGGGTGGGTGCAGATAGAGACTTCATAGACCATAGCTCCTGGCACTGTGCTGCCTGCCCTCTCCTAGCTGCCAGTTCACTGTGAATCCTATGGAAAGGGCTACCCCGAAGGGACAGGAGCCTAGGCTCCTACACTTGGAACAGCCATTGTGCAACCAGGGGTCTTGGGCAGGTTTGTGGGCCTCAGTTTCCTCATCTGGAAAATGGAGCCAGCCCAGAGAAAGTGTTTCCTGGCCTCCCAGACTCAGGATAGGAATTCAGGAGACCCCACTGGGGCCTGAAGTGTTGGAGGTCCCCTGCATGCTGCGGAACTTGGGGATCAGGGGCTAAGGGCTGAAGTTTCCCTGGATTCCATGGGCCTTGAGGATTGAGGCCCAGGCCCCCAGTAGGGCTCATGTCCTGGGCTGCTTAGGATGTGGCTTATTACTGCAGGAGGGCAAGTCACCAGTTTTGTAGATGGAGAAGTTGAGGCTGAGACAGGTGAGAAATCCAGGTCCAGGACCTGCTGCTGGGAAGGGTCTTGTCAGGATCAGACCCTGGGAACCTACTGGTTAGCCCTCCAGGAAGCCTGCCCACTCAACTGGGGGCTAAAGGGGACATTCCCGGTTGGTGGCTTCTCTATCTGTGGCCTCTGCAGCAGGAGAGGCCAGAGAAACATGACTTTGCCTCCCTGTGCCCTCTTGGCTGAGGGTTTAGAGGAGGTTGGACCTCCTGGCTGCTCCAAAGAGGCAGGTCAGGGCTGTGAGCCTTGAGCGAGGACTCAGCCTACTCTCCCTCCTACCAGTTACTTTCCCCAGACACTCTGCTTGACCTGTAAAGGAACGCCATTCCAGCAGCGCATTAATGTTAGGACCTGAGCATGAGATCCTCCTGGTCAGCTGGCTAGAAATACAGGGTCTGGGCCAGGCGCACTGGCTCACACCTGTAATCCCAGCACTTTGGGAGGCTGAGGTGGGTGGATCATGAGGTCAAGAGATTGAGACCATCCTGGCCAACATGGTGAAAACCCATCTCTACTAAAAATACAAAAACTAGCCGGGTAT